AACCAATCACAACATTTCTTGCATTACCTCGACAGCATAAGAGGACAAATACAGTGCATGCATAATTATTATGCAAGTTGATATTCTGATCATATTTTTTTCCAAGCACATTTGACCAATTCCAAACGACTACTATTAATCTTGTATTTAATCATTTATAATTGATATATAATTATTCATGAAGTGAAAAATGTCTTATATTCAGGTGTGCATAATTATTAAGCAGATTTTCTTTTACAGATAAAATGAGCCAAAAAAGAGATTTAACTCAGACTGAAAGTCAAAAATTATTAAATGCCCATGAGAAATATTCAAAACTAATACAATGCTAGAAATTGCAAAGTTAATGCATAACCATTGGACAGCAAAATGCTCAGTGGGGCAGCAGGGTCAGTCAAAAGCATGTGGAGAAGAAAAGATGCATGTTAACCGCAAAATAATTAGGAATTAAGGTGAAGAATTGTGAAATCACCAGGAATCATTTAGTCTCCAGCGCCAGAACTGCGACCTACCTGGAGTCTCCAGAAGTGCAAGGTGTCAGGTTCTCAGAGACTTAGGAGAAGTATAGAATCCTAAAAAATTACCTCTACTTAATAAGAATAACATACTGAAGTTACTGATTTATATATATTTATATATGCTTTATAGATAAGTTGAGAGTGACTCTTGAAGGACCAGCACCACATCCTCTTGTACCACTCTTTGAAGAATTTATCTTCCAGAATCTGGCAGTAAGTTTTGGGAGTTCATTTTTAGGTCTGCACACATCCAAAAACTTATTTTAAATGCAAAATTGATTTTCGTGCATTCGAAAAACTTTCTTCTTTGCGAGACAAACATTTTCTCCACAAAACTCAGTTCGCGCGCGTGCAAAACGCACTTTTGCGCGCTCAAAATATGATCTTTCGCGTGCAGAATTGTGGCAGAATTGTAATCCCATACACTACACTGTTCTCATAGAGCCGTGTAACATATATTTTTCGGTGGTTAACACTTGAATAGCAGTGCAGGATACGCTGCTATAACAGTAAAGCAGCCCTACACAGGCAATTGGATTATCTGGGCTGCAGTTTGTTGATTTTCAGAAGCTACGCCCACTCTATGGCTAAAGGGCCAAGAAAATCTCTACATGTTTATTTCACTCAAAGTTTGTTGTTAATAGAAATCCATCTATTGAGCGCTAAGACTAAACCTTCCACATTTGTGTTCACTCCGCAGTGGGCATTTTTGGACCGTATGTGCTGGGTTTTTTCCCCTCTAATTCTAATCTAAATGTCTAAAGCAGCTCTTGGTGTGCCTTTACAGCACTGATCGAGTGAGAGAGGATGCTTAATGTTAGCTTATATGCATTTAAGCTGCAGCGATCATATATTTTTAGGTTTAAATGAAGCCTTTAAATGATGTTTTAGTGTTTTTTTTTTTGTGTGTGTTGCAAACCCACTTTCCATGTCTTTTCTTCAACGTTTCTTGTTGTTTCTCTGTCTCTGCAGAACGTGGCCTGAGGCATGGGGGCGTTTTTAGATAAGCCCAAAACAGAGAAATACAATGCGCACGGGGAAGGGAACGGCCTGCGCTTTGGCCTCAGCAGCATGCAGGGATGGAGGGTGGAGATGGAGGATGCGCACACTGCAGCCGTAGGCCTGCCACACGGCTTGGATGACTGGTCCTTCTTCGCCGTCTACGATGGGCATGCTGGCTCGCGTGTTGCAAACTATAGCTCCAAACACCTGTTGGAACATATCGTCGCCGCAGGGTCAGCAGATGAATTGCGGAAGGCTGGAGCTCCGGCACCTGAGACGCCAGCCATAGAAGCGGTGAAGAGGGGTGTCCGCGCCGGCTTCCTGAGGATCGACGAACACATGCGCAGCTTCACAGACCTGCGAAACGGCATGGACCGCAGCGGCTCCACTGCGGTGGCTGTGCTGCTCTCTCCAGAACATCTGTACTTCATTAACTGCGGGGACTCGCGGGCCCTTCTGTGCCGCAACGCTCATGTCTGCTTCTCCACGCTGGACCATAAGCCCTGCAACCCACGGGAGAAGGAGCGTATACAGAACGCAGGTGGCTCTGTGATGATCCAGAGGGTTAACGGATCGCTGGCTGTATCCCGAGCACTGGGTGACTATGACTACAAGTGTGTAGAGGGCAAGGGCCCCACAGAGCAGCTCGTGTCACCAGAGCCTGAAGTATTCGAAATCGCTCGGTCAGATGCGGAGGATGAATTCGTGGTGCTGGCGTGTGACGGTATTTGGGATGTGATGAGCAACGAGGAGCTATGTGCCTTTGTGCGATCGAGGCTAGAGGTGACGGATGACCTGGAGAGAGTGTGCAATGAGGTTGTGGATACCTGTCTACATAAGGTACAGTTCCTTACTCCTAACTTCTGTGACAGCTTTTTACATAGCATGATTGTTTTGTCCTCAGGTGAGATTGTATCCTCCTTTCTTCTTCTTTCTTTTTCTCCTTCAGGGAAGTCGAGATAATATGAGTATTGTGTTAGTCTGTTTGCCAAATGCACCCCAGGTGTCAGCAGAAGCGGTAAAGAGAGATGCTGAGTTGGACAAGTACCTCGAGTCTCGTGTGGAAGGTGAGAAATAAAAGAGTTTGTTGGCCCACCACATGATGCCTAGTTTGTCCACCATAGGTTTGGGAGCATTCATTCATCTGATTAAATTATATCTACATTCTTGCATGCAATAGAACAAATAATTTTTTTTTTATAAAGACACAAATGAAGTAAATGGTGTTCAGAGTTGTTTTGCAGTAACAAGTATTCAAGCAATCGCTGATATATTGAAAATAGTGGTCCAATTAAAAACAAGACTACTTACATTATTAGTGTTATCTTTATATTTAATATCAGAGTAGGCTTGCTGCGATAGTCGGTGTTGAGGGTGATACCGTTGTTAAGCCGCAACACCAGTTACGTCACTTGCCCACCGTGGCACCGCCCCACCCCCCACACTGTCGTTTAGATTTTTTTTATAGTTATAAAAATCATTCAGTTCAGTAAGAGAACAGACACTACAATTAAAAACTGAACGCGGCTGCTCAATGGAATGTGCCGAACAACAGTCACATCACAGATCAGGAGCAGGAGTCAGATCAAAAGCACCTTTTTGGCAATATTTGGATTTTGAAATGCCTGTTGACTTTTGCCGTTTATCTAAGGTGATTTTGGAAGTTTTTTTAAACATTTGTTTCTCATTTATTTGTTTCCACAGTGTTTGCTGATTTTTACTTTATTTAAACTTTGTGTAATTTATTTTATTTTAAATTTTATGCTGTGCCGCCAAGCTTTCTTATTCGTTTTGCATTTCTTATTCATTTGGTTCCTCAGTGTTTGCTGATTTTCAGTTTTGTAGCCTTGCCTATACCTGTTTAAACTTTTGGTAAATTATTTGTTATTTTATATTAGGCATATTGCATGGTTTATTTTTATTCGTTTTGTTAATAAAAGTTCCTATACAACCCTCTACGCGAGCGAAACTCTCAAGCGCTCAGTCAGCGTGTTTATCGAGTGAAAATCTGTGTTGAACGCCTCTCACACACATACTGGCGAGTAAAACCTAAGAATTTATTAGCCAATGACTAATGTTAGACATTATTTAGTCGCCCAGAGTAAGATCTAGTCGCATATGCGAGTGATTTACTCGCAATGTAGAGGGTTGCTATATATATATATATATGTGTTGTTGACGTGACATGGCATTTTCATTTTTCACTGTCCCACAAGATAAAAATGAACAATTAATATTGTCGTTATTTAAAATGCAGTAAATGGTTAAACATTTCTTTGTCCTGCATGGACCTGTTGTTATAAAAGCTGCAGTGTTATTCGTTTTTTTGAAATTTTGAGCCAAATCTCAAAATTGTCCTATGGTGTGACTGTCTCAAGCATGGTTCAATAAATTACTTAATTTATAAATGGAAAAAGAAAAACATGTTAATAAATACCTCCGGCATAATTGTACAAGTGTCTATTTTAGTAAATGGCAATACTTTTTTTCATCCATATATTTTTGAAAGTGTAGGAACTTGATACATTTTGTCTCTGAAAATTATGTCCTCTGGTGTGACACAATTTCCTGATTTTAAATCGGCCAATTCCAGAGAAAACTTTAATTAATTGAAGGACCTCCTTCATGGTCGTGTTACTGAAGCCCCCTGTGAAGCCCATGACATGTGCACATGGTCAATTTTCATCTCAGAATTGTTCAAATATTTAACTTTTTTGGAACCACTACAAAAGTGTTACGTTTTGTTGTCCTTTGGTGTGACACCCCTAAATTATATTTTTTAATTAAAAACTGTATGTTAAACTACATAATCATGGAAAATTATGCAAATGTGTCTTGCTTACCGCTAATGACAGGTTAGCTTGGAATAGCAAGGTCATTAATTGACAGAAAAAGGCTGAAACGTCCTTTGGTGTGACAGAAAATGTCCTCCGGTGTGACGCCTGTACTGTCACACCATAGGACAAAGATGTCACACCAGAGGACAAGGTCTCTTTAAAAAGCATTTTAAATAATTAAATAAGATTTATTTAACTCCTTTTTATTCTTTATTGATCATTTTCAGTGTTCCTAAATGCAATAATTACATTAAACTATTTTATGATGTTTTTACAGAAAACTTGTACTGTTATAAAGTGTCATGAAAATAAGTATAAAATGTGATACTTTGTTTTTGAGACGGAAAGAATTGAGGGAGAGAAATTAGTGGAAGAGAGAGGACACGGAAATTTAGACAGAAAATTAACAGGGATCCATGCAGAAAGGAGGAGATCCTAAGAGAACAATGCAGAAAGTAAAAAGAATCAGAATGATGCCTTAAAAAGAGTAGCCATATAGTTTTAAAAAATCCATTCACATCTTAATGAATATAGTTTGAATATCAATCATATTTAGCTGTGCCACACATGCAGCGGGGGAGCTAAAAGAGTTTCAGTAACATACTGATTGACTAAGAGACTGAATTTTGTTGTTGATAAATTATTTTGTTTTGTTTAAAAAACATGTTGATATGGTTTTATCAAAATTAAACTTTCTTTCTCCTTTGACGTTCAAAATTAAATAGAAATAATTTAATAACTACCATTTCTGTCCTTTAGTGTGATGTAATGTCCTATGGTGTGACACACATAAAAGAACCACAGATTTGTTTTTATCTCAAAATATCTTTAAAAAAAACAGTTGAGTATTGCAATAGGGGACTTACAAATATCACTTAACTTAAAATCGTATAATTTTCAGCAGTTTTGAACGGATGACAGCAAAGTTTGTCTTCTTGTCAAAGTTTATCTTGAAATTGTCCAACAAGTCATGGGGTAAAAAATGATGTTAATTATAATTTCATATTAAATAAATAGCACTATATGAAAATAAGTGTCTAACAAAGAAGATAAATCTCTCTCATGCTATTTATGTATTAAGATTTTTTTTTCTGAATTTTTGCTATGTCACACCATAGGACAAATTTATGGTAGAGTTCAGTAAAAATTAGGGCTGGGTAAAATATTGATATCTCGATATTAATCGATTATCATTTTTACGGAACGATATCGATTCTTAAATCCCAAGAATCGATTAGTCTAGCCTGTTTTCAGTTAATGGACGGAACGTTGAAGGGCACTTCCCAGCCAATATATTGCAATAAGCATTGTGCTTTGGTACATTTAATATGAAACAAAGTCTCAGATTTCAAATTCTGTCCATTGTATTGCAGTATTCAAACAATAAATGCCGTTTTGGCGCTGTTTAATGTGGAGTGACAGATCGCTGTAGCCTCAGTCGCCTCAGTTCAACAGACGTGGCGCGTGAGGCGCACGTGAACTGATCATCTCCTCCACATTAATACCAGTTTCAGCACAAAATAAACATGAATAAACATCCGAAGGTAAGTTAAAAGAAAGAGCTTGTAAACAATGTCACGTAACGTCACATTTACCTCAGAAAAACACATTCGGTGACCATAAACTCAGTCAGATAGAAAAATAAACTGTAAAGAGGGGCATTTTGTTAAATATATGCACCCATATAACATATTCATTATACATTTTACTGTTCTTCAATGTTTAATTTGTTTGAATAAATCCATCAAGTTTTTATGACAGCCATAATTTTGTTTATATTTAAAAAAACAAAAAAGTAGAAATATTATTATGTAATTGTAACTTTATTAAAAAAACTTCATTTAGTGTAATTTTAACAAATCAGTCAATTTTAACCTTCAATATTATAGTAATGTAGTACCAACTGACTCTCGTGTATATTTTACAGCATTAGTTGAGAGATTTTTTTCCTTTAGAAAATTTGGCAGGGACGGTACCTGATATATATCCAAAATAATCAATATTGAATCGAATCGGTAATCGAATCGAATCGCAAGCTTGTAAATGAGAATCGAATCGTGAAATTTGTGTCAAAACCCAGCCCTAGTAAAAATGTTAAAAAATCAGTGAAAGAATTGACGAAGTTAGTGACCCTTTATATTTTCTCAAAGATCAGACTTCACACTACTTAAATATATATATATATTCGGGCTGTGCAAATAATCGAATAATGCGATTATCATGCGCATCTCGTCAGTAAAGCCGGTTCTGTGATTAGTAGTAAATCTCCATCACCTGCTTTCAAATGGAGCGGCATTTACTACACAGAGCCGTAGTTGTATCGCCTGCGATAATGAACGCGATATTGTGGAGCATGTCAGTGAACTACGGCTCTGTGTAGTAAATACCCTTAAAAATTAAAATAATATTTTTTATAATTTATCAAAAAGATTCCCTATTTCAGTGTTTCCTGCACCACTTTCCTGCAGCAATCCTCAATCCATATATAAGCAATGACGAGAAACCTTTTGCTGCATGCATTTGTGGAAAAACAAACATACAGTGCAACCAGTGCAGTCAAATTCAAAAAGAAATAGTTAAAAAAGAATTACTGAATCAAATTCAGAAAATGTCCCCTTCCTTCACACCTTTTCTGTTCTGGTCTGGAACATGCTATCCTGTCTCCACCCCCTTTAATCTTTCTCTCTTCCTACTCTCGATAGCCTGACACTGTTTCTTTTTACTTTTTTCCACATTGGCCTTTCCTTGCTGTATTGTACATTGGACATATTCTGGCTAGTGGTTGTTGGTTTTGTGGGGTTTTGGGGGTTATGTAAACTCTTGGCCTTGAGCTTTGGGCAAAGGTTGGGTTAACATTGTTGTAATGTTTGGCTGGGTGCTGAGAGGGCCTGAGGGAGTCGTCGGCACTGCTGCTCTGGTGAGGAATGTGCTGGCTGAACATCTAACTGGCAACAGGCCCGGAGCGGCCCAGAGCAGCCCAACTGGGCCACAGGCTTTCCTTCTAGAGTCTCACTCTTGCCTCTCAGTGTCTCTGTTGTTTTTTTCTTTCTTATGTCTTTATCTCCCATTTCTCTTTTTTTAATATAATACTAACTAACACCAATGCTCTACACTAGTACCCGTAATACATTGCTCATTTCTTCATACACATACAATAGTTCACATATACACAAAGTTGTCTTGCATACATTGTAGCGTTCCATTAAATGCAGCAGTCAAATACGTATTTAGCTTTAATCTGTGGTTTATCCTTTCTGTTTCCTAATCAGAGCTCATTGAGAAAGCAGGGGAAGAAGGTGTGCCTGAGCTGGCGCATGTCATGAGCAGCCTGTCCCAAGAAAGCATCCCCAATCTCCCACCAGGGGGCGGCCTTGCCAGCAAGTAAGTAAATAACATGGTTACAAACCACACAGAGGTTCACACCTGCACAAACATGTTAACATGCCTAATATTTAAGAATATGGAATGCTAACACAGAGTTTGCAGGTTTAGTCCCAAGTACACTTGACCCAGAATCCAGCTTGGCTTTATAACCTCTACACCACTTCACCCAAAAAAATATTTATTTTTTTAATAGGATGGCTGTTGTGTTTCTCCTCAGGCACAGTGTTGTTGAAGCAGTGTACAACCGGTTGAACCCCCAAAGAGATGAGGATGGTGTGAGTATGAATAGAGTCTGGCGTTTTAAAGGTCTAGAACCTCCTGGTATGATGACAGCAATACATTTAGCCCCTGGTCTTACCATAAAAATGTAGAAATGTTAACTTCCCCTTGACCTGTTGGACTCATCTCATCATGAGACGTTGCCTTGTTTTGCACCTCGCTCACTCGACCCATTTATACCTGGTATTAATATCAATCAACCCAGAGTCACTTAGTGTTACTTTCTCACTCCGAGTGTTTGCTCTTTCCATCCCACTCGCCTACTTTGCTCATTTATTTACTGCTGAGAGTAAAACATCCTGCTCAAATGACAGCTGTAATGAGCTCATTCAAATGATCCTCTGCCCCAAAGCACAGCGGTTGAGATCACCACATCACAAACACTCCTAATGCATCCCATCAAGGAGATGAGCTGAGATCTATCAGCCTGTAAGCATGACCAATCAGACTTGGTTAGCGAGCACACAAGAATGTTATTTCATTAGCTTTTTATGCTATTATTAACTCTTCAGCCAAGTCTCATGATGATGATGATGTCACTGCTCAACATGTGATCTGGCAAAACTGCACTAGGGTTTGCATGTTGTAAAACCTGCATTTGGTTACCTGTCTTGTTGTTGTACCCATGAACATAAACGTTTGTGTGTGTGTGTGAGGCTCAGAAGAATGTCAGTTTTGTAGGTTTAATTTGTGTGACACATTCTCATGTGTTGGTCTGGACACCAGTTGGACAAAGCTGGAGTTTTGATCCAAGTGTTCCCCTCTCCCCTACTGGACATCCAAGAGATATCTGATGTGTGTGAATGAGAGAAAGAGATGGTGTTCTCTAAGCTCTTGGACTCTCCTCATTAGGGTTGTCATGATACCAAAATGCCAGTAGTTGATACCAATGCCAGAGAGATTTCAGGATCCTTGATACCACTTTTGATACCAAAGCAAAACTAATTTAAGTAAAAATACTAAAGAAAAAAAACTTAATATATGAACAAATTCAATTGAAACAATGGAACTGGAATGTTTGGGGTCAGTAAGATTTGTTTTAAAGAAACTATGCTTTCCTTGCTTTTATACTTTTTATTACTTATGTAATTTAATGTGACACTAAAGACATTTATAATGTTACAAACGTTTTCTATTTCAAATAAATGCAGTTTTTGTGAACTTTGTTCTCCTAAGAATATAAAAATATATCACAGTTTCCACAAAAATATTAAGCTGCACAACTGTTTTCAACATTGATAATAATCAGAAATGTTTCTTGAACAGCAAATCAGCATATTCGAATGATTTCTGAAGGATCATGTAACTGTAGTAGTGGCTGCTGAAAATTCAGCTTTGCATCACAGCAATACATCACATTTTAAATTATATTAAATTAGTAGTAATATTTCACAATATGGCTGTTTTTACTGTATTTTTAATCAAATAATTGCAGCTTTTGCGAGTATGAGACATTACAAAGTCTTACCAACCCCAAACTTTTAAATAGGTTTGGTCACCTTCAAGTATAACTCAAAGACAGTGTAGCTTTTCCAAGTAATTATTTAAGTTAACATTAATAAGGAAACTAATTAAGAACTTTTTTTTTTCATGTCAATATTGTGGTTTGAATCATTTTAGCAAACATAATAGCAGTTATATTTACATTTATATTATTTAAATTTTAGTATCAACTTGGTACTTTTGACATCCCTAGGCCTCATCAGTGAGTGATGTTTTGTTGGCTTGTTGTGAGGAGTAGACTAGATCCTTGTGTTTTTCAGTGATAGCCAGTGACAGTGTTTAGTAAGCTTTATACTCTGTCCACCCCTCCTTTTGTCAATAATTCATTTTTAAAGTACCATAGCATGTTTTTCACAGCCAGATGTACAGTTTGCAGTTATATAGCTATAGCCTATAGCTATATATAGTTATAAACCAAGGAAGGTATTCATATCAAGAATAAACATATTCGAGGCACATTAAGAGGATGCTACACATTAACAGAACTAATGATGTATGTGTTCACCCTTTGATTAATGCAGCCCAGCTGTTTTATTTGGTAAGTCGATTACTAATTGATACTAATGTTTTCTGCAGAAAGAGTGACTTGAGTTTGTTTGAACATAGCGGCAGAAGCTCACCTAATCTACCCCATATGTACTGACCTTATGAAAGCAGCAGTAGAGGGAATTTTACATTTATTTAACTGCTGGTTTGTGGCTATCCATGTTTGTTTTATGTGGTTTGCAGTGTGACCAAACTGTCAAAGTATAGTTATATTATATTATACCTGTTAAATATTCAAGCCCTGTAGATAAGTCACTTCTTTATTTGTGTTTTACATTACCAAAGCAACAGTGTTCCTGTCAATGAATGCAGATGACTTGTTTAACTTGGCTTCCATTTCAAGTCCTACTCGTGTACAGTATGTTCTGTGTCAAGAAATGGCTTACCTAGATGTGTCCTTGAAAAGTAATCATATTATGGAGTATGGACCAAAAATATTACTCACTAATCTCTAATCAGCCATTTTACAGGGGTTTGGATCAATTTCTCCATAATCTTTCATGTTGATGCTTTGCACATGGATATTTTTTGTCTGTGATGCAGATGTGTAACTTTGGTTGCTTGGAAGTGAGAGCAGGAAATAATAGTAGAGGAAAAAACATCAGATCAGAAATGCAAATCTGATGATCCCATTGCTATTCCTTCTCTGAATCATGCCTGTGCCTTGTACAACAGTTAATTATTTGATCTCATGTAAAGAAATGATTAAATCAGAGATGAAATCACAGTTCTACTTCTGCAAATAAAATATTAGACAGAGAAACAAGAATGGCACAATTTTGGTTTCAAGGTTCAGTGATCACTGTAATGGTTAGCTGTAATGGAGTATGGGAGACCAGGGGCAATTGTAATATGTTTTTTTGATGCTTGCTTTCTTTTTGTTTAAGTTATATATACTTTTTTTGCTTAAACTGTCACTGGTAGCTACTCTACAGAATTTTGGAGACAGGAGGTTGGGTGGACTTGTTAAATTAAAATGAAAATTGGATTCTTCTAAATGTGTAAAGTACATTATTTCATTAAAGTAGTTTAGTTTAAGACTTGATAGACATTCACATGCTCAGTTGGGAGAACTTATACTTTGCTGAATAATTGTTTGTACATGCTGAAACAGTGTATATTATATAAAAAGGATTTAACCCATTTTAGATAATTAAACTGTCGAAGTTTTAATTTTTTTCCTCAAGTATGAGTTTAGTATGGCTGCATTTATTTGATCAAAATACAACAAAAATAGTAGTATTGCAAAGTATTACAATTTTAAATAGTTTTCTATTTTAATGTATTTATAATGCAATTTATTCCTGTGATGTAAAGCCTAATTTTTAGAAGCCAATGATCCTTCAATGATCCTTTGGAAATCATGTTAAAATGCTGATTTGCTGCTCAAGAAACATTTATTATTATCAATGTTGAAAACCGTTGTGCTGTTTAATATTATAATATACTGTATAATAATATTGTTATTATATGTATATTTTATTTTTATTGATTGTTTGAATAGAAAGTAAAAAAAAACAGCATTTATTTGAGAGAGAAATATTTTGTAACATTGGTTTTACCTGTCTCTTTTAAACAATTAATGCATCATTGTTAATAAAAACATTAATTTATTAAAAAAATCAAAGCAAACATTTGACCAGTAGTGTATAATCATTTAGCTGATGGTCTTCTCTGTGTGGTGTTTCTCTGCAGAGTGGTGCTGACCTTGAGGACCCGTGGTAGTCATCCCGCCTGAGGAAAGAGCACCTTTTCTACACAAGACATCAGTCATGTTTCTTTTGTTCCAGTGAAACCAAGAGATTCAACGGACAGTATTTCAAGAGTCACAACACAATGGAAACACAGTACAACCAAAAGCATTACAAACACTTTTTTTTCTAATGTGAGGGAAAGAATGGAGTTCCAGTTTTAAAAACAAACTCAAACACGAAAATAACAAAATACACATCATACAATAAAGAACTGTTTTTCTCACTTTTTTTGTGGTGTTCATTTTGAAACCGAGGATGTTTTGCGGGATGGACCCATGTACGTGCTGTGGTGCCTTTTTTAAGTCGGAAAAGAGGTTTGTCAATGCCAGATGCCCTGAGCCCAGGATACAGTTAATAAACTTGGCTATGTGAGACCGCTGCAGCCCCTGGTATGGGGTTATGGATCATCACTGGGTTTGAGGATACATTTGACTGATGAATGCGTGTGGATCGTGTTTTAAAGAATTGCTTCATTACTACTTAACCTGCGTGGAAAGGATTGAAGCTTGTTGGCTTTTTGCACCTTCCCTCCCTCATGTGCGCTGACTGACCTTTAGGTAGAACCTTGGACTCGACTCGGCTTCGTTTTGCAGGTTATCACTTGATTGGTTGTCAAAAGCTTTTTTTAATCCTGCTGTTTCAGAGAATATAGAATATATAGAGATAAATATATATAAATTCATATATATATATATATATATATTTTTTTTTTTTTCCCATGTTTGACGTTCTTTGTGGCTTAACGTGTGAAGCAATAGAGTTGTGTTGGTGGCGCCCGATGAGCGTGCGACGTTGTGTGAATACTTTAGACACGCTGAGATTGTTGATGTACTTGTGTAACCCAGCCACCCAAGGACTGTGGATGATGTTGGCTAAAAGGGATTAAGTACCCACCAAAGCCACGCAGCATTTCTCAGCTCCCCCTTTGTATTATATCTCTGTCTTCTCTCCTTATCGGCCCTCACTTTCACAATGCAGATGTGAACTTGCAGCAACCTGCCTTTCTTCTTCTTTTTCCCTTCAGAGTATATTGTAAAGTGGTGTTTTTTGTTTTGGTTTGCTGATCACGAACATACTAGCTTTGTGATGAATTCACAAGTTATTTTCTGATTCATCATGCAAGTGTAATGTTGGTTTTGCTCCGATATATTTTCAGCAGTCCTGTTTTTTTTTACTCTCAAAGCCGTGATTCCCATTCACTTTCATTATATGACTGACAGACTGCAAAGGTTTGAGTTAAAAAATCTTTGTTTGTGTTCTACTGAAGAAACAAAGTCACCTACATCTTGGATGCCCTGGGGGTAAGCAGATAAACATCACATTTTCCTTTTTGGGTGAACTATCCCTTTAAGTACTCAGAACCTGAAAGGTGATATTGAGTAGAACAATAAAGATAAAGGAAAAAGCAGTCTTGCTCTTTGTTTAATCACATTGGAAAGAGCCTAATGGCTGAGAGAAAACCCATTTTGAGTAAGTAGTAATCTCAATAAGTAGTTTAATGTATTGTATGCACATTATAGCTTGTTCTGGCCAAGAGTCGCCCATTTGGACAGGAAGAGACTGTCTGGCCGGAATGTAAAGCAACCAGATGCAGATTGATTTGTTTTTGCGTGCATTTTAAGGGATGATAGCTGCAATAATAGACTGAAATTATTTTAAATGATGGTATTCTCAGTGAAAATGTACCCATAAAACACAAAAATATGTATAGATGTTGTGATCTGTATTTCTGAGTAAACGAAGCTGAATATACAGTGCTGATATACTAAATGTACTATTAAGTGCTACAAACCTGAGCATATTTCAAAGATTTGAGGTCTCTGCCCCAGCAGAAGTTGGCAAATGTAGTGATTTTTTTATTTATTTAAAGCACTCATTGTATCAACCTTGCCCTTATAAACATGACTTTGTCAAGTGATTAAAAAAGTGTTGTAGGTTAGATTAGTGCTTATTAGGGCTGGGTATCGAGTTCGATACTTTTTAGGCACTGACCGAAATGCCTCGATACCATCGAGTATCGAAAAATGTCTCGTCGTTCGGTACCAAATTTCGATACCTAAGGGGTTAATCTCATCAGCGTCAGTGAGCCAATAAGCCTGCAGCACTAGCCGGTGTGTTCGACCAGAAGAGGTGCGCCGCAGATCGATCAGTGCTTGACATTCGCGAGAGCGATTCGAAAGCGCACTGGTTTTTTTTACTTTAAACCGCATAAACACATTTCATTACACCAAATACGCAAAATAATGTTCTTTTTAGCAGCATCATATGACCCCTTTAAAACTATTTGCACGGATTTATTGTGTTGGTTACATTTTGTTCCTTTGTGCAGTGGCTCAGGAGATGAGTCTTTGAGTTTGTATAAACATCAACAAGCTGAAAAATAAAACCAAAGTTTTGTTTTTTTTGATGATGTAATCTTGTTAAAATTTATTTCATAAAATTGGTATCGAAAAAAGTATCGTTCAGGAACCGGTATCGAAGTCAAGGTATCGGTATCGATATATCGAAAAAATTTTAACAATACCCAGCCCTAGTGCTTATCAGATTGAGAAAGTGCTCTCAAGTTTTGAATGCTATACGCATCCTATGGTACGGTGGCCTAATAGTGCACAATACAACGCAATTAAAAAAGCAAACGTAAGCTCACAATGCAATTAAAAAAGCAAACATAAGCTCACAACACAACGACATTAAAAAAGCAAACATAAGCTCACAACACAACGCAATTCAAAAAGCAAACATAAGCTCACAACACAACGCAATTCAAAAAGCAAACATAAACTCACAACACAACGACATTAAGCCACAACACAACGGAAATGCTCCCGGCCACTAGGGGGCAGTGTTGACAGTTAAACACCGATCTATGCACGGTCACTTCCGCATTTCCGCATTTTTCCTCAGGGGGCTTACTTAAATCCGGTGCTGTGCCAAAAGCCGTTGTTCCTTACGTAGAGCTTTCAAAATGACAAGGGGAGAAGATGATTTTTCAGCTTACAAGAACTTCCCCGGATTACTGTAAATGAATTTAATCGCACGGAGAAGGGCATTAAACGTTTCAAGTTACATCGACAACTTTAGGGTGAGTATTGTTCTGTCGTCTTCTAGCAAATCTTGCTAATAAGGCTGGATAACGCTGCATGACTTCTGCGCCGATTTGATCAGCACTTAAATAGCAGGGCTAAGTTAGAGTTTAGCTTTAAACTCCGTCCACCTCAGGTTTTTATAACTCCTAAGAGATAGTAGCAATAACATCAGAGCTCCCGGTAATCCACGTTTGTTTGCATCTGTGGCTGTGATAGGAACGTCTTAACTTGATATAAAGTATTTTAAATACTGTTCCCATTTTTAGATTGCCATGTATCGTAATAAACCTTAAGTCTGACCGTTTCTGGCAGTTTATCGTTATATTTTCCTGAAGCTTGAATTGATAGTTTACATTTAATATAGCAGTTTTCCAGGGATCCCTAACACAAACATGATGAAGCTGTTCAGTAAAAAAGCAATTAAGAATAGAAGCAAACAAGATCAGGAATGGTTAAGAGTAGGGACATCCTTTGAAATATTACTTAACTCTTTACAGTGTATTGGCATGTTTGTAACATTATATAGACTTAATTCTTCATAATTTATTTTAAATATAGTTTAATTTACAATGTAACAATTTAAAATGCAACTGAAAGTAATTCAAAATGTATCTGAAATCAATTCAATATGTAACCCAATGCAATTATCTTCACAGATTGTTTTAAAGGACTCCCATCCATACTGTTGCAGCACTGTACCAGACAGCACACTATTCAGAACTGAGAATCAGTGCAGTTCCTCCTGTACAGAGCTGCACTGAATGGAGCAGAACTGGCACAAACCTAGAACAATGGTAAGTAAGATATAAAATTCTTTAATGAATGACATAATAGACTTTTTATTAATAATATTAACATGCCCCATTGGTATGCCTAGAGAGTTAAGCCAGGTCCTGTCAGTGGGATGGTGGTCCTGTTTGCAAGAGAGGAAACTCGCTGAGTGGTTAAGGTAGGAGTAGACTGTCTAATTACATATTTTCATATCTTGCTATATTCATAATGTATAACATGCCTATATGATTAGCCCTAGCAGAAAAAAGACAAAAACACAATCATATTGGATATGGCTCCATTCATAATGTATGCAACATGTAATGACAGTGGTGGAAGATTTTTATTTCTTTAATGGTCAATTTACACTATACCTTTGTTTTTCATCTCAGGAGAATGTTTACAGTGGCGTCACAGTGATCTGCTTGGCCTATCAGTCCTCCAAGTGGCAGAAGTGTTAAAAAACCATAGCATTACACTATCACAGTTATTAGTATTTTAAATAACTATTACACTGTATCAAAGTTTCTAAAATGTACGTGTTTATATTTACATGTTTAGATTACACTAGTGAGCAAGAAACTGTATTAAAGTTATATATATTTGCATTTACATTATATTTAATATTCTAGTCTGTACAAATAAAACCAAATTAATCCATCCCAAGTGTTTTGTGTAAGGCCAGATCTCTCTGTGGAAGACTGACTGAAAGGTGGACCATGAAGAGGAGGAACTCATCGAAGGGCTGCAGAGACTGACACTGTCAAAATACATTTTAAATAATTATGATACATGCATGTAACGTGCACATCAAAAAATAAAAATAAATAAAATTTTCTTTGTCACAAATAAAATATTTACAATATTTACCATTGCATTGCTTGTTATTCCAACTTCTCTCCTCGTTGTAGCTGTCCTCGCACAAACCATGTAAACCATGTGGAATGCAGGTTCAATAACTCTCCAAAAATCTCAAATCTAGATTGAATGAGACATGTTTTCAGAAAATGCACACCACACAATGTAATAACAATGCAAGTTTGCCTACACTGAACCTGATGGTTACTTTAAAAATGTATAATGTATTGACATGCAAGTACTCAAACAATTATTTTAACTGGGGTTTTAGCTTATTCTCCCTCATGTCATTCTAAACCATTATGAATTTCTTCTGTGGGGAAAAAAATATCTAAATAGCTGACTGACACTAACATTATTTACAACATTTCTGTATGCCAATGAAGAAATCAAGCCATATGGGTTTACAACTACATAAAGGTGAGTATATGATGACAGCTTTATTTTAATTTTTGGGTGAATCCTCTAACTCGTTAACACATATTGCCCAGACCCACAAAAGTGGTTTTTAAAAAACAGGCAACCACAGCGACAAAAAAAAATAATTCACAACAGGCCTACATTGTGCATGGTAGTAATGTAAATAAGGGTTTAGATCTTACCTAGTGCAGAACCGTATGTTGTCGTTACCGTAAGTGGCGCCTGCAGACTGTAGTATCAAAAGTGATGTTAAAATCCTTACATCTACTACTCTGAATCCACTTATTGCGAGTTTCTTCATCCAGGGGAGAAGTGTGAAAAACTTTTGAGAAGCATCACAAAACGGGACATATCAAGCGGAACAAACCAAAAAAAAAAATTCACAACAGGCCTACATTGTGCATGGTAGTAATGTAAATAAGGGTTTAGATCTTACCTAGTGTAGAACCGTATGTTGTCGTTACCGTAAGTGGCGCCTGCAGACTGTAGTATCAAAAGTGATGTTAAAATCCTTACATCTACTACTCTGAATCCACTTATTGCGAGTTTCTTCATCCAGGGGAGAAGTGTGGAAAAACTTTTGAGAAGCCTCACAAAACGGAACACCGCAATAGCGGGACAAACCACCCTCACGGATGTTTAAACTTTATGGAACTCTTCATTAAATAATTATATTACTGTGGTATAGTTAATTTGTTATATTATAGCAAAGTGTATAAATATTATTTTATATTAATCGTTCATTGACAAAAGATTGCGGCTGGTAATGCACTCACCTATGGCTGAATACAGACCGGAACCTTTTATGCGCCCTGAGATTTCACCGGAAATACGTAGGCTGCATGCCGTGTATAGAGTCCATTTCCCGTTTCTGCAGACCAACTGCCCCCTAGTGGTCGGGAGCATTTCCGTTGTGTTGTGGCTTAAGGACGCGGGAAGTAGGGGTGCTGAGGGGGCTGCAGCACCCTCTGTTTTCACATAATTACAAATTGCAACGCCGAGTTTGTTCATTTAAATTTCCCATCCCAGCAAAAACTTTCCAAAATCGGCATCCAAACAACACCAGCCCCAGCACGAGCACCGACGTAAGTGAACCAGCTACCTCAGGCCAGGCTAAAAATGCAGTATGGCTAATAATGAATGCTACAGTATGCTATAGTATATAGGGGTATCATGATAGCCTGTTTTAAATATCGCAGAACAAGTTTTGGTTTATTTGTTTTATTTGGATTTTATTTAGTTCCAGACATATGGTAAAGATATAAAAAGTTCTGTACCTGTAACAAGGAATGCATTGTGTGATTTAAAAGAAAGACCAGCTGCATGTAGCGTTAGTTCTGGCAAGTCACGTTAGTCGGGTTGGCATCAGCTGACTCTCAGCTGATCCCCATCTACATCTATGGGAAAACGACACCTATATAAGCATTCTTATATAAGGTCCCTCAGTATTATCAGCAGTTTTCACATTGCTCAATAGCTAATTACCCTTCTCCATCCCCAACTCCTCCTCTGTCAGTCAGGATTCAGCCTTCTGATTCTCCTTTGAATCAGACTAATTCTAAAATGTGTACATAACATTATTGAACTTTAACAATATCTGCAATACCTTTATGTTGGTTCTGTTCTGTTTACCCTGGGGGGTTATTGCTGCTCTCCCTGCTCTCACCCATGCTAGGCTGCATGGATGCGCAGGGAGTTCTTGCCCAGAACAGAACCATACCGCCAATCCAAACTGTATGCTAATTGTCAATCATCTTTGACGATAGTGGTCCTGACAGAATTATATAATCAAGTTGCAGTTTACATACGAATAGTTGACTAGTTACATTAAAAGTTGGACAGGATTAATATTTTGTTAATTTTTGTAGAGTTCAGATTACATCTGTCATTGAGGTGGTACCCTAAGGTACAAATATTATTGTACCTTATTTTAAATGGCACATGTAAGTACCTCAAAGTGTACTTATTACTACCTTTTGCAATGGTATTGCACCAGTGATGGGTTTTAAAAAAAATGAGAATTAGAGTTTGCCAGCCAATTTGTCATGTAGTGAAAAAGTTTTCAAGTATTTGTTTGTTTCTCATTTGTTTACCAGTGTTATTTTGGTATTATTATGATTATAGTATTTATTCATATTTTGAATTATTTTTTACTTTTATATTTTCAGTTAGATTTAAGGTGTAGTATTTTAGTAAATGTATGAGCTTTATTTTATTTAAGTATTTGCAGGAATCATTACTATGCTTTTCATAGCATATTTATATTTATTTCAATTTCAATTACTGAAAATTTTTTTAAAACATTTTTAGTTTTAATGATAACTGCTGATTATTACAATATTTTGTGTTTTGTATTTGAAGTTGCCCAAAAACAATGCATATTAGGCAAAAAAAAAAAAATCTATATTTTTGGGTAACGATTTAGTAAAAAAATATATATTTTTTTAATGTGATCAGGCCTTTTCATTATGCATAAACATCAATAAAATTATATGCTCAACTTGCAGTTTACACTAGTTACATTACAAGTTGGACAGGATTCTTAATTTGTTCATTCTTGTAGAGATCTGATTACAGGGGAAATCTTGTCAGCTGGGAAACTAAAGGGTTGTTTAGTTTCTAAAGGGTTGTTTGTAAGGTAAAAGTTTGCCAGCCAATTTGTCATAAAGTGAAAAAGCTAGTTGGCTAACTACCCGGCTTCAGTTTGCTAATTAAAGTGATATATATTAGAGTTTAGGACATTGTGGTTATATCCAGAGGGGTGTAAGAATCCTGTGTAGACAGCAACACTAAAACATTGTAAACTCACTTTGTCGCATGGCCAATGCCAAGATGAGTTACCTGACTTTTCAATAATATGTAGCCAAGGCAGTGTGTGATTGGTCCTGCTAATCTCTGCCACATTCCTCTGGGAGGGGTTTTATTGTGTGCTGAGAGGGATGGAGACTGAATGAGTGTTGTGCACTATGGACTTGTGAATGCCTCTATTTAACAGGACTCCCGCTGTCGGCTCTCACAAGTGTTGTTCCTTGGGACTGAATGAAGCAAGAAAGATGAGTTCGACCAAAATCACCAACATCGACGCGGTGGAGCTGCAAGAAGGCATCCAGAACGCAGCCTTTCATGAGGATGATGATGATGATACATCTGATGCATCAAGCTTTCGAGAGCAGCAGGCCACCAGCGTGTCCGTCACCAGGCCGGAGGAGAACGAGTACACTCAGATCGTAATTTTAGTACTTGTTTCAGTTATTTACCAAGGCAACATTACTAATTTTCCTCTTATGTTAATATTGTATTTCAGCTTTATTTCAGTTACCACAAAAAAATTGCAATAGTTTTTAATAGTTTCATAATTTTTAGATTATTGCAATATTTTTGTTATTTACTTACTAGGAGTTCAGATCAAGCCGTATGCTGGGATGCCCAAAGAGGTCCTGATGTTATACTCCAGCAAAGCCTGCTACCGCATACCTCGAGAGATTATTTTCTGGCTGATCGTCGCATGCACCCTGGCCCTTATTGCCATGACCGTTACGATCGTGGCGCTGTCACCTCGATGCATGAGCTGGTGGCAGCTGTCTCCGGTCTATCAGGTTTATCCACGATCATTCAAAGATTCAAATGCTGATGGTGTTGGAGATCTCAAAGGTAATTTTTGATCCTTAAGGTAAAACACTACAGGTTAATAGGGTAAAACATGTGAAATGTGAAGTTATTAGTGTTATTTTGGCATTAAAGTTTTCATTTAATTGCTTTTTTTTTTTGTGCTTTTGCCATTTTTATTAGATTTTTTTTATTTTTTTTTATTCATTTTTATTTCTGTTTTAGTAATTTTAGTACTTGTTTCAGTACACATTTCAGTTAATTAAATATCCTTTCCTTGATGCATATCTCAAAATACAACATACATTTGGGAATAGCCATTATTTTGTCCAGGTTTACATAGAAATTATGTAATTATTAAAGTTAATTATTCTGTAAAACTTACGTAATATAGTTCTGAGATATGTGAACCTCTGTCTGGTTTGGATCATGTATTTTTAGTGTCATTTTGAGAGCTCCTAATTTACCTACACACATCCTAGTGTGCATAATGTGCTAATTTTTCAACAATCTGGGAACTTTTTAATAATTCAGAGACATTATGTAAGAAAATTGGCCTAAAACAGAAAACAAAACAAAAAGGACAAGAAAAAGTTAGTAGTGTATCAAGCTGCCTTGAAAAACAATTCTCTTTTCAGTAGCTGAGAGTTCAGTCCAGCTGTAGCGTTATTTGAGAAGTGAGTGTATTGATGGCTTAGACAGACACACAAAAGCCATGTTTTTCCTTCATAATGGGTCTGTATTGCAGCATATTCTGTTTCAAGCAATAGGAGGAGGTTGTTTAATTGCTCTTATGTAATGGGCAAAATAGCATCTACACATGCCATAAAGTACATAAAACTGATTTTACAGCTGTACATTACAGGATAATTAGTATTTTACTTTGAAACATGTCCACACAAAGCAAACACTCTGGATAAGACAAAACACCAGCTTATCTTCTACAAGAGATGTATAAAACTTTATAGACCCTCCAAATGTTCACTTTTAGATAGTAAAAGATTGAAATCATTATAAAGGTTAGTTTGATCAAGATAAATTAATTGTATTGCTGAATGTCGTATACAGATCAAAGGTGCAAACTTTATAGATAACCGTTTTAGAATTCACTGTTTGGCTTCAGGAATCGAGGAGAAACTGAGTCATTTTGAGTACCTGAACATTAAAGCAGTCTGGATCAGCCCTTTCTACAAGTCTCCTATGAGAGACTTTGGATATGATGTGGAGGACTTCAGGCAGATCGATCCCATCTTCGGAACCATGGAAGACTTTGACGACCTCCTGGCAAGCATGCATGACAAAGGTGGACATGCTATATGTGACCCTGGAGCACAAAACCTTAAGTCGCTGGGGTATATTTGTAGCAATAGCCCAAAATACATTGTATGGGTCAAAATTATCGATTTTTCTTTTATGCCAAAAATCATTAGGATATTAAATAAAGATCATGTTCCATGAAGACATTTTGTGAATTTCCTACAGTAAATATATTAAAACTTAATTTTTGATTAGTAGCATGCATTGCTAAGAACTTCATTTGGACAACTTACAGGCGATTTTCTCAATATTTAGATTTTTTTGCACCCTCAGCTTCCAGATTTTCAAATAGTTGTATCTCAGCCAAATATTGTCCTATCCTAACAAACCATACATCAATGGAAAGCTTATTTATTCAGATTTCAGATGATGTATAAATCTCAATTTCGAAAAATTTACCCTTATGACTGGTTTTGTGGTCCAGGGTCACATATAAGAAATATTTCACTCAACATTGTCACCAACCAGCAACATGTAACACATTGACAAACCTGTATTGTGATCATTTTTGACTGTAGTTTGAATTTTAACATATTATGAGCTTCATGAGTAACATGATGGGTAATAATTAACAGTTTTATTAAACTTACAATGTTATAACACTATTACATTGTCATACATTGTCATATCACTATAAAATGCTATGTTTGATGACAGCATTGTTTTTTGGCCCAGGTCTAAAGCTGATCATGGACTACATCCCAAACCACACCAGCGACAAACACATTTGGTTCCAACTTAGCCAAAATGGTACAGAGCCCTATAAAGACTACTACATCTGGGTTAACTGCACACGAGACAAACCTCCAAACAACTGGGTATGAATGTCCAAATCAGCGAATAGTGACAGCTGCTGTGTTTGGATATTAAATTTTATGGCTCGACATAAAGATTCAGTGCTATCCAGAATGCTCGTCTGTTATATACCATTCCATACTGTTCTACACCACATTATTTATTTATTTGTTGCGATCCAGATTGAATGAAAGTCGTTATAATCCTCAGTGGTTGACTATAATGTCACATTGTTTGATTTGTCAGGTGAGTGTCTTCGGGAATTCCACCTGGGAGTATGATGAGGTGCGACAACAGTGCTATTTCCATCAGTTCCTCAAGGAACAGCCTGACCTTAACTACCGTAACCCTCGAGTCATAGAGGAGATGACGGTAAGCTTGCAGCCAACAGCTTGACTGTGAACGTTATGGGTGCGATGAGACAAAGTAACAAGCAGTACAAGCTCGCTTGATTAGATGTGATTGTGTCATGTTTTTTTTTTTTTTTGTAGCCAATTAAAATGCTTGAGCTTGAGCTTAATTACAAAAAAATATTTCCCATATCTTTTTAGGATTCTGTTCATTTGCGTGAACCTTTCCAGGCCTGGAAATCGCAATTTAAAATCCCCTCGTATTTCCAGCCTTTTCATGACTCTGGGAATAAAAATGAAGGAAAAAAAATAGCTATGGTACAGTATATCGTTAAGATGTATAATTAGCAGTTTTAATAATTACCAACATTCATTTGAAATTGAAATCCGTCGAAAATGTTATATATATATATATATATATATATATATATACT